CGACCGATCGATAAATGGACCCAATCGGTCGTGTGATCTCGGGCCGGCACAGGAGAAGAATAGGTTCCCAATTGTTTGAAGAGAATCAGTTGTGGAACGGTGCGCCATATGAGAAATTCCGAATGAAAAATGCCTAAGCGATTATGACACTGGACCAACGTTTGACTCGTCTAAGATACATGCACTATTTTTCGAAGCGGGTTCGGTAAACAGATAATCATGATAAAACTTTGAACTTGTCTTACTAACGAACAACAATATCCCCTAATGAAGGCCCACACAAAACTCTTCTTGATTTTTCCTAACGGGTTGTTTTCGCGTTGAACTATCTCGCTAACTACGTCGGAGATAGAATTCCGAAAGAAAGAAAAAAAGAACAAATAATACGGGAATGATTATATTCATATGATAAAAGTTGTTCCATAGGTTTTCCATTCTGCTGCTTACATAGCAAAATCCGGTGAAAATAGTTTTCTTCCACCTCTGTTTGAGCTCCTCGATAGTTCTCGGTTTTGCTCTAGATATCCCTCACAGAAGGAAATCCAAGAGGGACAGATTAGGTTTAAGGACACGGGTAAGAGGGACGATACGATGGTAAACGATGGAGCAATCGCACTGTATGTAGGAAAACTTATTTCCCAGTTCACTGTAGATTGTACTTAAATTAAAGACGGAATTTAGCAACCTTAGATAATTATTTGTTCGTGCTCTCGTGGTTATTTAGTAATTGCTTGCAGAAAGCAAGACTGTACCAAATTAATAAAGGATCTACTTCAGAGATCTGTAAAACCAACTTTTTCCAGTCCGATCGAAGTGAATCTTTTCTCTGTAGAGCTGGGTCATCGCAGAGAACACACTTTTCAAATGTTTTTTGTGACTACTGGTGAGTAATGTGAATATTTTCCCGATAACTTCTTTACTGTCATTCACCAGATAGATTATCACGGCGCGCGGTTTGCCGAAGCAGGTAAAGGATGGGAAAATGTCAAGAGTGGTCGAACTAAGACCCGGCGTGATGGGGTATGAAAACGCTAATCAGGACACAGGGTCACATAGATTCCATTAGGCGCCCTGGATGGGGACCCCGAGATCATCACAACCGCTGGTTAAAGACACTGAATGATGTTTGTGTCGCAAACAATGGTTCGTGGTTGCACAAATTGAAACTAGATGGGATTCGCATCGACGTGTGGATTATCGGTGTGGTTTTCTAATTCAACTGATAAAGCGGATGCTGTACAAAAGCGTAGACGGCGGTCCTACTTGGTTTAGAATTTTACCAAGGCCATTAGATACTTTACATGAAGAGAATGATAAACTCTTATGTGAATACTTTACACTATTAATTTATAACATGTACTGATGAGGAAAATAGTCATAGGTCAAAATGATCTTGGTAGATATGGAGTTCGGAGCACGTTTGTGGAGCTACATTAGCAGGCGATGTTGGGTTGAAACACTACACTGGGAAAGCTGACAGATAGCTGCTAGTACTAATCATGCAAAACAATAATAATAATAATAATAATAATAATAATAATAATAATAGTCTGAACAGTCCCACAGAGCACATTTTCAAATAGAAAATAATAATAGTAACAATAGTAATAATACTGATGGTTCCCGATCACACAAGGTCAACAAACCAAACGGATGCAGTTATTGTTAGAGTGAATACGATATTGTGAGATACTACTGAAATTGAACACGAAAAATCGATTTGTTTCACTCGTTTATCGAGCACCGCTACATACTTGGCAGTTTGTGTTGCCTCAGCTATTCCCTAGATCTCCATCTCTTGGGTGCTTCCATCAAGGGAACGAAGATAGTAATTTAAATTCGTCACATTGACATTTATTTTTGAGACTTCTTCGATTAGTCATGTTATGTCGCCAAATTGTTATGCTTTGCGACGCGTATATCCGTTGCCTACTATTAGGTAGCACAGCACTTTATCACAGGAGAACACCACAAAAGCAAAGAACACAGATATAGCACAGTAATGATAGTAGCACACGGAGAACGAGAACAGTGGACCAGTACTAGGTTTTCCCTACTGATACCCTAACCGATACTTACATTCGCAACATCTTCCTGAAAATAAAACCAACCCTGAAAAGTGTGTGTGGTTATTCTCGGGAGCCATAGCTCTGAAAGTATTATTTAACTCATATGCGGTATCGAGACATCATGAGCTAGCCGCTGTGTTTTCCCAGTTAATTTCACATCAACTAAAACCCCTTTACTCCACTGGACGGACAAAAATAGTTCCCAGTTGGTCAAATCAAGTCGAGAAATGCTTTATGCACGATGTTGGGTAAATTTGCAGTCTTATTTGCAAATTCTAATGAAGCGATAAAGCAGTAGTCTATATAACGCAAGATGTAAAACGAATGATCAAGTAAACGTGAAAGACAGACTAAAAGATCAACAATAAGGGGCTATGGCGCTCACCAAGAGATACACAACTCAAGGGACTAATGCTGATATGATATGTGAATGTAGAGAGGGGGAATTTTGAATGGGGAAGAGGAGTTAGATATCCACAAGACAATGCCGGGTCGGGGAGAGTTGCTTATTACGAACAACGGTGAGGGTATCAAGACATTGGCGCACATGCAACATAAGTCTTATTTGGAACAGGTCATCATAAGTCCCACAAGCACGCAGGACAAAACATGGAACAGTCCTGTTATTAAAATTTTGAACACAGTCATTTTCTCTAGAAGGTGTTGTTCATTTGCTGCCATTATGACAAATCGCCAATCACATTCTTTTTCGCAATCCAAACACACTACTCACAAATCTGGGCAGTAACTCACAACACGGGTACGGTAATGAGAGACCGATTTTTAAGCAATACATTGTTTGAAAGATGGTTTGTACCAGAAAAAGGTGCTTAGCAAACTCGTCGCATAAAGATAATCGTTTACGAGGAACACCATTGAATGTGAATAAGAATTTACTAGAATGGACAAACACAGTAAAGTCCTGATGTGTAGAACTGGGAAAGTTGTTACAGGGGGCAAAAGTTTGAGTTTCAGTTTGCATGAACGCCACTGTTTAAGACACCCAGTCATATCACTCACTCTAATCATGGGTTACGACCATCCCGAGGTCCCCATCCAGGGAGCCTAACGGAACCTGTGTGACCTAAACTCCTGATTAGGGTTTTCATATCTTCATGTCAGGTCTTAGCTTGACTACCTTGGGCTTTCTTTCACCCACTATCTGCCTCGGCAAACATCGCTCTTCGTGGCAACCTATTTGGAGACATGCGTAACACATGTCCAAACCAACGTAATCTATGGAGGTTGACCACTTGCTCGAGTGGGTGACTGCAGTTGCCTGAAACTTATCGCCTGACCTTAGCATTGCTCGTCCGGCTGCCTCACCAGATTCGTGCAATACAGTGAATGAGGGCCAGTGTCGGAGATAACAAGGTAACGTATTAGGCATTTCTCAAGTCTGTGAAAGGACAGCTAGTCAACTTATATAAAGGTAGTTGCAACGCGAGCAGACCGGAAAAGATAGTGAGATAAAATTGTGCCCAAATATTTCACTTATGTGGCCCAGAGATAGGGCGCCCACAAACAGTGATGAACGGAAGGTTATTAAAAATCAAGTGGTAAAATAAACAATATTCAATGTAAAAAGAGATATCAACGCGCTATCCAGCTCCGGGGTAGCGGGAAGGAGACCACTTGAAAAGGGTTCATCAAACAGTCTCGGACAGGCCCAAGTGTAGAAGGAACAGTGTATGGAATATACATCACCCGCATCCTCTCAGACAAACAAACAAACCACGAAGAATAAGATCTTCAGTGTAAAGAGGAAGGTGGCTGTCTGAAATACATCAGATTTAGTGGGGAGAGCCGAGGCACGCTTGGTAGCATAGGTACGAGGTAAACTTGTTTCGGTTTGAGAAATGTTCAACAAAAACATTCTCCGGACAGTATCCTTGAAGAGGCGCAGTAGGATGCCGTGATTCGACGAACCATTCAACATTGACATCGATCTCCCGTTGGACGACTTATAGTGACACGAGTGGTTTCTCTTGTCTAAAATAACTATGATCTCCGTAAACTAACACACCATGTTGTACGGTCAGGCTTACATGAAGCAACCATTTCTGTCCGTAGTTGTTGACCATCGATCCTCTCTTTCCAAACTCAGATTAACAAGGCGATGTGATGAATAGAAATTTACCAAGATAACGAATGAATATTATTTATATATATTTTGAAATTCAGATGGCATTGTTATTTGTTAGTGATGCACTATATAAACGCTGGTGCACTTACTTGTAATAAGAACAAATAAGGAAAAAGTCGAAACGCGAAGAAATTTCTTTTGAAAATATCGCTTCAGGCATTTATATATATATGGTTCGATTAGTCAGTAGAATACTACAAGGCCTAGGCTGAAGTTGAATGAATGCCTGTTCGGTTGACAACAAGCTGTGGGGTCACGATAATTGGATAGGGGAAAGCCGGATAAAAAATGTGTGATTTAGATACGATATGAAAAGTGTTAGTCAAGAGTGAATAGAACAGGTGTGAAAGTGTGCGAAAAAGACAGTAAATGAGAAGTGGGATAGGGAGGGAACAGAAAGTAAATTACATACTGATATGGGTAATTGTTCTTATGGTCATGGTAACAGCAGCGTTTCAACCAGATTACGTTGCTTGCACACTTTCGGCTTCAGGATCCTAATTGCAATAGATTCCCCAGTTGTTAGGATCTTCTTACGTAATTCTTTGGTGTGGTTCTTAGGTGAGGTGAAGAAACTTGTAAATGCTGTTTCTGTGTCAATCCCGTGTCCACTGTCGACCAAATGTTGTAGGATTGAACTGTTCAAGCCTTTCACTGTTCCTCTTCAAAGAACGGCCGGACAATGTTCAGATATTTTTTTTGGACAAACACCTCGTTGTGTCCGATATACCGAGCACTACAAGTGCACGTGAAGTGATGTAGAACAAAAGATTGGGACTGGTGAGGCAATTTATCCTTAAGCTGTTGAACAATGAACGGTTTAGTTCTCGATGAGAGTCTTAAATGCGCCGCGGGAAAACAGTTGGCAATGGCTTTAGATAGCCGATATTCCAAAATTTCTAATGTCCTGTCTCCCTTGAAACGAACGTTGACAAACACCTTCTTTGTAGCCAATTGTATCCCTTCATCGTTTAGTTTTGATTCCATTTATCGTCGAACAAACGCTTTTTGTTATTCGTTCTTCCCGAGGATGTCTCTTATATAGGTCAGCTCTTCATTTAGGGTCCGCCGACTACAAACTTTCCTTGCCCTGTATGCTAGACAGTTCACTAAATTGCGTTTGTATCTCAACGCGACGAAACTTTGATGATGTAAAACGTTCTGATCAGCTACCCGGTTGCCGCGTGGGTAGCATACTGACGTTCTACCTGTGAGGTCCTGGGTTTGATTCCCAGCTGGGTCGATGGATTCGGACTGCTGATGAGACCCAACCAGGTCGAAACAGCTATACAGTGTGCCTCCTAACTATTCAGTTCACGCTTCATTTGCTCTACACACGACAAATTCCTTCTATGAAATTAATTATTTGTTCACGTCCAGTCACTTTATCCGACCTGATACAGATTTGGTCGTTTGAGAGAGGAGTTCAATTTTCGGAATTCACGTACACACACACATACACACTATTAACCAACTGCAACCTAGTCACGTGTTTCCTTCTTTGATTGTTTGTCCCGTACTCACACACACACACACACACACGCACACACACATACATCATCAGACTGAAACCAAGTCCACCATGGTCTTCGGGGTACGTGCAAAGACGATCAAAAATCAAATCACACCGAATGCGCAACTCACCGCAGAGGAATGGCGTCGGTTGTATGAACGGGAAACGGATCGAACGAAACAACTTTTCAATGCACTCGCAGGTTTGGACGGAGAGGTCAAGCGATGGCGAGGAGGTGAGTTCGCAGTTTGAGAAGAACTGTATCTCGCACAAACCCCACGGAGGCTAATAAGTCTCCAGCTAGACCTATTCGGTTGCTCAAAAAGTTGACTAATTGCCAGAAATGTTTTGATTGCAATGGATTTTTATGTGAGGCAATTAGCACGAAACCGATTGTGTGCTTTCAGGTAGAATGTGGAGAATCCATCTGAGGTGGCACATTTCTATTTACATCTATTCTTCACTAAAAAAAAAACTTTTACTGAGTTTTTTATCCCCGTCGCCGTCAAGACATCTGGCAGTTAGACTAGTCCGGCTCTAAGGTTCAGAAAGTAGACTATTATGGAAACAGGATAAAAGTAGATTTGTCGGTGTGCGAACATCGCTGTCAACGCAGCATTGCACGAATCTAGTAAGGGAACTGGACAATCAATGCCCAAGTTACGCGCAAACTTCCAGGTAACCACAGTCGCCAACTGGAACAAATGGTAGATCTCCGTAGATTACGCTGATTGGTGCATGTGCTGCGCATGTCACCAAATAAGTTGCTACGGCGAGTGATGTTTACCGAGACAGACATCGGGCGCGAAAACATCAAAGGCGATCAAAATAAGACTTGAAATGAGGGTGTGAAAAGCTTAACCAGAACAATGGATCACATAGGTACCTGGATGGGGACCCCGAGAGCATCATGACCGGTGGTTAGAGACACTGAGTGATATGGGTGTTGCAAACAGTGTCGCTCGTGCAATTATTCAATGCGCTTACAATCCCAGCCTATATCAATGTCGAATCTTCTTTTTGACTCTGTCTTCCAAATTCCAATGTTTATTCTGCGTTTTTAGCCAAATAAGTATCCAAAAGACAGCAACAAAAACCGCCACATGGAACGGCATGGTTAATGGGTGTGAAAAATGAAACTGAAACTTTATTCTCATTCGTTAAACTGGGATGCTAAAAGCAATACTGTGCCACAGATATAACGAAAGGAAAATGTATGGGTGGGACGGTCTTTTGCAAACTGAGACGGTTTTTTTATTGGATCTGTTCACGCTTCAGTTTAACCGAACAGTTATGCAGTAGATTTAAGTTAGTAAGCAGTGAATGGAGTGAGTAGAGCTGTGCGGTGAAAATTAACATACAAGATAGTGGATATTCCGGCTGGTAAGCACCACTGATAAGCTCTGATGGGTAAAATGCTCGGGTCGGGTGTTTATTGACATTCAAGTGGGCTTTAATAACCGCGGATTGTGTGTGGTGCCTTAGTTTGAAAGACAATCCGCCAACATTTGAAACCCATTATGAAACCTTCATTATCTATTGATCATTCAAAATCGAAAAATAAAAAATCGATTTGTTCAGTATAACTGAGGGCATCGTGCATTAAATATGTTTCAATCACGTCAAGGAATGATTAAACCATGTTTGGATGCATGTATATATGTATTTTACACCCGTCGGAGGCCAGATTGTGTGCCGAACAAATCATGATATAATAATCTTTAGAAAAAGAGAAAGGATTCATGATTTACTCGACGGTTTGATGCTGCTTGGTTGCTCAGGCCAAAGTTAATGAATTTTCTTGGGGAATGCACAACCGGAGCCTTCGGCTAACCGATGTCTAAAATACAAGGTAGCTGGGAAGCCGGGGTACAGTTCATCGGGTCATACGCCCTTTGGACCGGGCCAAACGTTCAAGGTGCCCAATACACCTCGATGACCAACTGAGCCGGTGATCACTGTCACAATCCCGAAGGTATGGGTGTGTGGTTCGTACGCCTCTTTTCTTGGCTGATATGGAATCACTGGTTTTGGCCAACTCCCCTAGATGAACTGTCTCGGTAGTTCACCGACCCGGTAATTGCCCTGGATGTCGGTTTTATAACCTCTCACTTTGATGCAAAAGCACCTCTGCAACGGGAAGGTAGTTAGAGGGGGCTTCTTCAGCAGAACTGACTATTTGAGACGCTTGATCGTACAGCCAAAGCGAAACTGCGACACATCTTTTACTGTATTTTGAAAGTTAATGAAATACACTTGAGAAGAATCGCAAAAATCTCGGTAGAGTTTCAAATAGGGAATGTTCATCAGAATCAATAAATTTATTGTGAAGTCATCAGTTGAGTGGGATGCTGCAAACAGGTCTATTCGCTTTGTATTTCAAATCAGCCGCTTTCTATGCTTCACATCATCAAGCTTTAGCCAAAACCCACATTCCTTTATCCCTGACCCACATTCCTCTAGCCACAAACCGTAATTCTTCCGTCTCGAGATACAAATTTTATTCATACAGCTGTGGGAGATTCAGATCAAAAAGTGTCGGAATATTCATTCGGAGGTCAGCGCGAATGGCCAAAAAAAATATGCACTACAAATTATGATGTTGCCAAATTTGACTTGGAAAGCGGAAGTTGTGGCAGTCGCACGCTGCACCACATGTTAGTTGGAGAAGGCCTAAATGATCTGTCCCCATCCTCAAACTATTTAGCACATTTTTTACAGCTTCAGTGTTTCTGTATAGGATGCGATACTCCTGTGAGTAAAAACTTCAAACGTAACACAAACAGTACATTGTTTTGAATTCATAAGACCTGATGTAGGTCAAAAAGTGATATCACAAAAGTAAATGCCTACCATTCCGTATCTCCCCTTAAAGAGAACTCCGCTCTCGAGATGTGAATACATTACCAGTCCGAGGATAATAAACACTGTTCACAAAAGACCCCCTTGAGCACCCAGTTTCCCAAAAAGTTATAAACGAAACTCGTAATTGTTGATCCCTGACCGTCGTAATAATGTCAAATGTCACAACTGTAATAAACTGGTGAAAGTTATTGGGATTTACCTTTGCGAATGGTGTTTATTATCCTTGTGGATGCAAAACAATGTATCGTTTGTGTAACACTTGGGAGTTTTACTCATACGAGTACCACACGTTATAAGGAGACATTCAAGCTGTTTGAGATGTGGTAATTGGTTTGACGATGCGGGAACATTGGTTAAACTTTCTCCGGTTAATATGTGGTGTAGCGTGCGACCACCCCCAACACCGCATTTCTGAACTAAGCTTTGCAATTTCAATATTTGTAGAAAATAATTTTTTTTTCAACATCCGTTGACTTCAGAATATCGCGATACATTTTGATCTGAGTCGCCTACTGCGGCGTGACTTAAAATTGCGCGTCGAGGCTAAAGGACTACGGGGGTGGCTAAAGCATTTCGGGTTTTGACTACAGGAATGTAGGTCAAGGCTGAATGATTGTGATTTTTTTCTAAAGCTTGATGGGGAAAGGTGTTATTGTTCCTCCGTCACGTAGTGTCAACTGACCACCAATCAAGGTCTAGATGCAGTTGTCCCCGTAATTCCAACATAATAAATCAATTGTCATTATCGTGCAAAGAGCACTAAGTATAGAAATCGGTTAATTAGTGACCCAGGTTTGTTGCAGGGCTTCACCACAATTTCAAACTGTTTGGTTTTTTACATATTTAGAGATGTGCCAAATAAAAATGCTCTCATCCCATTCTCATTTAAAGGTGATCCCAAGGAGAAACTAACAAATGGTTTAAACCCCAAGAACGTACTACATTGCTTCGCTAATTGTTCCTCATAAAAGTGGACGATTGATTACTGGAGCAAGTGGTCAACCTCCATAGATTACGTTGGTTTGGACATGTGTTACGCATGTCTCCAAATAGGTTGCCACGAAGAGCGATGTTTGCCGAGGCAGATAGTGGGTGAAAGAAAGCCCAAGGTAGTCAAGCTAAGACCTGACATGAAGATATGAAAACCCTAATCAGGAGTTTAGGTCACACAGGTTCCGTTAGGCTCCCTGGATGGGGACCTCGGGATGGTCGTAACCCATGATTAGAGTGAGTGATATGACTGGGTGTCGTAAACAGTGGCGTTCGTGCATCTTCTCAATTTCTTTGCAACCTTAGACCACTGAAATCCATTTTTTGTTCGACTCCACTTTCAACATTCGTGTCTTCTATTCTTCATCCAGATGGGCAGCCAAAAGACAGCAACCAGAACGGGTGCATGACTATGCGTGGTTATTGGTTGTACAAACTGAAACTGAAAACTTGGACAGGCTAGAATCTCAAGTTACCTTCTCATGTACATTTAGGTGCCTTTTTCGAGTTTATCGGAAGAATTTAAAGACGATTTTCTGCTAGGATCTCAGAACAGGCTCGAGATATTTAACGCTTAACGACTCAAAGATTCCCTCGAGCTCTATTTCCCGCCAATTATTCAATTTCAAAATTTGCATCAACCCCAACACGAGCATTCCGGGTATTGAACCGACAGAAAACTGATTCATTTTTACTGCTTGCTAATGCCATAGTCATTCAGCGCTACAAGCCACACCTCCGCGAACAATTAAACTTCGTGGCTAGCCTGGACTTGCCACCGGTTAGGCTGCCAACGTCTTTAAGGTTAATAAACATGTTCTCTTATCCCTTCCCTCCGCACAACTCACGTATGACTATAACCTTCACCTTCAATTTGCCTAGTCGATGATTTTGTACTTCAAGATTTAGCATCGTTCTTATCGAACTTTCACATGACTGTTTGTGCACACAGCTGAAGACATAGTTAAATCCAACCTGTTCTCTGTGAGGAAAAAAATTAGTTTTGTTGAAACTGACGCATGTTTTATTTCCTCCAATTTCTTAATCGGCTTCTGTTTCAGGTGAGAAACCTGCTAAAGAGAACTGGTACACGGAAGAACGGTACGCCCCGCTGCTACGTGAACTCAGTGACAACTCCGAAGCTCTCGGTGGGATACTGTCTGCTGAAGTTTCTTTGCGGGCCAATGTGTCCGCAATTTCC